CCCTCCCCAGCCTCCCTGTAGGTCCCTTCAGGCACTGCAGGCAGGGATAAGGTGCCCCTGGAGTCTTCTCTTCTTCGGGCTGAACAATCCCAGCTCCCTCAGCCTGTCCGCAGGGACAGGTATTTGCACAGAGGCAGGGAGGGGCTTGCAACCCCTCCAGGATGGTGCCTTCCCATGCAGCTCCTGGTCTGTGGACAAGTGACACAACCAAAACCACAGGGATTTGCTCCCACGGACTGATGCACAGTCTGGGACCATTCTCAAGCACGAGGCAGAGGAGAGCCACAAACCTGGGGGTGCAAATAGCTGCACGTGTCCTGGTGTGATTGCAGCAACCGAGGTCCCCCCAACCCCGGCCACCCCCTCCAGGCAGTTTGGGGATCCGAGCTTTGTTGGGAAGGGCTGAGGGAAAAAGCAGCAGACCTGGCCGGGCAGGGATCCTCACTACACGTTCTCTGCTGGTCGTCAGGGCGGGTGAGCGCGTCGCAGTACCGCTCCTCCACGATGCCGGCCAGCTTCTCCACGCAGTGCACGATCTGCCGCTGCACCCCTGCGGACACAGGCAAGGGCCTGAGGTTAAAACCGAACCCAACCACCGAGTATCCTCCGACAGCAGGAGAGAGGAGGCCCTAAGGTAATCTTGGGCCACCAAGAACAGGAGAAAGAAAATGAAACTGCCACTGAAATAGAAACTGAAGTCAACTTCCGTAGGGTCGTGCAAACCCACAGCAAATTGCTGGCAGCATAAAAGTACAGAGCAAGCCCTGGCAGCTCCTGCCACACCAGAACCCTCCTGCTCCAGGCAGAGCTCCATGCACCACAGGCAGGAGACAGCTCCTGGCACCCTGCACTACCTCGGAAGGATGAGTGTCCCCAAATTCTCTTTTTTCAGTGGGATCAAGGCCCCAGCCTCCCGTCTCGCAACATGCCCGATGGCCTCCCTCCATCAGTCACCCCAAAAGCTGCCCCAGGACACCCAACTGCTGGAGCAGGGGGGCAGGATGGGGAGAGGCAAGTCAACACCACAGGGCAGCACGGCATCCCAGAGTTCTTGTGCGTGCTCTCCATAAAACCCTGGAAACAATCCCCCCCGGAGAGGCCCAGACTCCCTGAGCTTCTCTAAAGCTCTTTTGTCTCCATCACCCAGATGCCGAGGAACACCCGGCGCGGTAACAGGACACCGAGCGAGGAGCTGATAAAGCGCAGGGTCCGGAGAGTGGTGACCTCAGCAGATGGTGCATTTTTATTTATTTTTTACCCCCACGAAGACGTCCTGAAACCAAAGACCGAGGAATTTTAAGGCAGTGCAGCAGGATGGGGATGCTCCGCCTGCTCCGCTTCCTTCCCTCACCGAGCCCGGGACTCACCGGTCCCACACGTGGCGGTGCACGTGGTCCAGGAGCCGAAGCGCCAGAAGAACTCGGGCTGCTCAATCTCATTCTCGCTGTCGGCCGGGCGCTGGATGGTGTACTGGTACCGCACGCCCGGGTTGGTCTCCTGAAACAGCAGCTGTGGAGGGACCACGGGTGGTCAGGGAGGTGGCTAGTGCAGGGCTGCTGCACCCCAGCGGGTTTTCAGGAGGTCACAACCTGCCCAGCACGGCCAAAAAGATGTCATTCCATGCCCAGCTCCATGCTAAGGCTGTGTTTGTCCCCTTGCACTGACTGTTGCAGAGGACAGTGATGGTTCCAGCTGCTGTACCCCACCAGGAGCATACGACTGTTTCAGAAACAGCATTAACAAACGGGCGAAGCAGCGCAGGGACAGAGGAGCTGCCCCTGCTCAGAGCACTGGGCTTGTGGAAATCACAGAATCCTAGAATGTCTTAGGTTGGAAGGGACCTTTGAGATCATCTAATCCAAATTCTATTCTCCTTCAATTTAAATCCATTTCCCCTTGCCCTATCGCTGGACACTCTTCTAAAAAGTCCCTCCCCAGCCTTCCTGAAGGTAATAACAAAAAATAACAGTGAGCACATTAAGAACCACCAGGACTTTGGGTTTAAGTATCCCCCGGCGAAGAGTCTGGAAGGATTCCCCTGTTAATCCCACCCTGAAAGAATTCCTTTAAGTTCTCCCCAATGGGTTCCCACTGCTCTCAACACGCATGAAGCGGCTCC